TCTCCACGTCGATCTCACGCACGGAGTCGTTTGAACGCTCTCTCTCTCTCTCTCTCTCTCTCTCTCTCTCTCTCTCTCTCTCTCTCTCTCTCTAGACAGATTGCGCACAAGTCGCACGGCCCGCATCGTCTCCAGCAGCTAAATAGCCGCGCCGCGCACCTCCCCCCAACACCTCCACCCCGAATCGACGTCATGCGGTGAAACCCCCCCCCAACGCAGGCTCCGTGCGCGAACCGGAAAACAGTGCAGTGGTCAATGCAAAAACCAACACAGCCTGCGCGGGCCCCCCGACCAAAAAGAACCCCTCCCCCGGCGCAGGCTCCCCGCGCGAATCGCAAAACAGCACAGCGGCCGACGCGAAAACGAACACAGCCTCCGCGGCGCACGAAAAAGAGCGCAGTCCCCCACCCAAAAAGAGCCCCGCCTAGCGCAGGCTCAGCGCGGCCCCCAAAAACGAAACGCACCCGCGAAACGACAGGCCCCAGACTCGACGTCAGCGAGGCGCAGGACTTGGTACTCCCCGGCCCCCACCTGATCCCGCCTTGCCTCCTCCGTCGGTTCTCGCTGTGCCCGACCGCTGGCGTCACGGCAGGCCCGCTATAGTTTTTATAAGTATAGAGATAACCAACTACCAGATGGCTGAAATTGTGGTATACAAAGCAGTTGTTGGGCCACAACTGTCCAGTTGATGGGCACGAGCATAATTCCGTGGTGTGCCATCCCAGGCCCGTCACTGGGTGCGGGTACATCCACAATTTTGCAAACCTGGTTTCTGGGCATGTGCATGAGCATAATTTTGTGCTGTGGACCGAAGGCCCTGCGGGACTGGGTACACCCGCAATTTCGTACAGGGGGAAAATTGGGTACCGTGCATGCAAGTTGGCGCTGGGTCTGGGTATAGTGGGTGTTCCCATCTTTAGGTGGGGTACAGATGCAATTTCCCCCTTTTTCCTTTTCCTTTTTGGGAAAACGCTCCAATCTCTTTGAGGGGAGCAAACGGCCCCGTGTCCCTAATGAGAGTAAAGAACCATGATCTCGCTTGTGCACGGACTCTCCCACTCTTCCACCTTCATTACTGGAGACGAGGTCATATCCTGTTTGCCCTGTTTGCTATGCCACGACTCCTCTGATGGTGTATCATCGATGGCATGCACCTTCTCATTGCTCATCCAGGAATCAGCAGCCTGCTTCTTTGTCTGCCCCGATTTTCCATGTGCATGCTCCACAGCTTGTTGCTGTCCCTGTGTTCCAGACGGCAATATCCGCTCCTTTGTCGTCTGCAGATGGTCCAACTTCCAGAGAACAATCGCGCGACTTCTTCATGCCTTCCCTTTCAACATTTGAGATTCACAAGTCACCTGCAGAGTAGGATATGGTCCCTAAATGACCACTTCGTCAAAATGGACATTTTTTACTTTTTTTAACGAAATTGAAACCGAGTTTTTTGGCCGAAAACTCGTCAAAATTTGCYGTTCCTGAGGGTCCAGAACGCTGGACCCCCTGGCTGTACATGGACCTAGCTTGAGACCAGGTCCAGACCTCAGGAACGGCAAATTTTGACGAGTTTTCGGCCAAAAGCTCAGTTTCAATTTCGTTAAAAAAAAAAAAAAAAAAAGTCCATTTTGACGAAATGGCAGTTCCTACTCAGGGTGCACTCCCCACTCAAGGGGTCCCACAGGTCACCTGCTGGTCAATCACTATTGTCCAGCATACAGCCCAAGACATAGGCCACATGGGTGATTTGCAAATTGCCCCACAAGGTGTAGACCAGACGGATCCTGCAAATGAATGGCGAGAGTACAGCCCAAGACATTCCAGGCTTGGAACATCATTTGGGTAACCTGCAAAGTGTTGGTCAGTGTCATCATTTGGCACTCCAACGTTCTCATGACAACGAGGAACATCACTGTGATCCTTGTTCCCCAAATTTCATTGAGACCCTCACCCCCAATCGCTGTGGTATGGCTGCTACTAATGCTTGTCTACACCTTCTCCACCGCCCACCTTATATGAAGTCGAGACTTTTTAACAATCGCCCTTCAGCTTGATGTGGATCTTCCCGGCCTAGAGCCAGAGGATAGTAACTCTACTAGGAAAAGAGGCTTTACAAGTTGGTGGTCCCACCAACTTATAAACCCTAAACTTAGCTTCTCTAGGAGTGAAGAGCTTTATCATGTCTGCATTTGAGACAGTATATTTCATAAGCTAAACCGGCCGATGCTGCCGGGATGACGACGGGTTGAATTGTGAGGTCCCCGGCCTCAGTTCATTCGTGATGTTGATAATGGAAGAGACCATTTTGTTATAAAAAAAACAGAAAGAGGGACCACCAACTGGAACTGTGCTATGCCCAGCCTGGAAAGTGGTTTCATCCTCCATCCCACACCTCTGCCTGCATTTTACACGCACAATGGCCATTACATGGCCATGGCCATTGTCCATGCCTCTGACTGCTGGGAGTTGTGGGACGATGGCACCATGTTGTTGTGGGACAATGGCACCATGTTGTTGTGGGACAATGGCACCATGTTGTTGTGGGACAATGGCACCATGTTCCATGCCATGATTGATGTCGGTGATATACCGCCCGCACACTCTTTTATGTCGAAGCTCCCTTCTTTTCCCCGGTGTAACAGCGGGGCCATGTGTCAATGCTCTGCAACCTTCTCCTCTGCACAGATAGTGTAACAGACACTGTCACACTCGACTGCAGGGGTCATTGACTCTACCACAATCACTACAATGCCATGGTTTCTGCATCTGCAGGTGCAAAGGGTTGTCCCTCGTTTCCTGACTGCATGCGCCCTCCGCATCCGGACATTATACGTCCATCTTGTGCCCATGGAGGGTATAGTCATACTATAATGCCCAGATGCATGCTCTTCTCCGACGCCCCTTTTTGATTCATGTTAGCATGTGACCAACATGCCCTTTGTAGGGAGTGTTTGATGGGCATGCTTAATGCCAGCCGCCGTGGCAATCGTTGTGCTGAGAATGGTCAGCTAGGTCTTTCATGTCGTCATCCACCTCATCCCAACAGTACATGTCCTCTCTGTCGTCAAGTACAGACTGACTCATACGTCTTCTCTTATCCCTCGGACTCCCTCCCTATCCTTTCATCTTCATTCCATGCTCCTTACTTACCCTTTGACTTCCTTTGCTTTGTCTTCCGTCCATCTTTCTCCCCTCGCTCATTTTCACAGCATGCACGTGGTGGATCGTTATGGCACACAGGGTTGTGGGTAGTTTGCGCTCAGCTACATCCGCGTGGCGGCGTGCCTTGTACATGAGACGCACAATAGCGGGGGAGCTAAAAGAAGAAATAACAGTGAGAGGCACAGTAAAGTGGGAGCCAGAAGAAGAAATAAAATAGAAACCACGAAACAAAGTCAACGAAAGGAAAGAAAAGAAAGATCTGCACAGGAAAAGGCAAAAGGACGGTTTCAGTGTGCTTCGTGTAGTGTGCTATCTTCTTGGTTTGTTTCACACAACACAAAGTTTTATCTTCTAGTTGATAATAATATGTGACGATGTATATATTGTCACATTGTGAATCAGAGCGCAAAAAAGGGAAAAGAAAAAAGGAAAAGGAAAAAAGGGGAAGGGGAAGGAGGTAAGGAAAGCTCCACCTGTTCATAACCTCTTACGTACAAGGCCAGCCACGTGGATGACAGGTTGAGGTATATACACCAGCCTCCTGATGAGAGCCGGTGAATCTTCAACGAAACAGTTTGTCACAGCCCCTCTCGTTTGTTGTCCTCTCCTCTCCCTCCCTCTCCTCTCTGCATACAGCTTAACGGGGAGTTCTGTTTGACGGTATATAGGCAAAAGGACGGTTTGAGTGAGCTTCGTGTCGTGTGCTATTTTCTTCATTTGCTTCGCAAAGTTTGCTCT